AGACAGACAGACAGACAGACAGACAGACAGACAGACAGACAGACAGACAGACAGACAGACAGACAGACAGACAGAGATGACAAGAAAGAGATGACTCCAAAAGATAATCATAAGCAGACAGAATAGGCGCACATCATGGGCTTCCATTTAACCCTCGAAATTGCAAGTTAAGAGGTTTCTCCTCATACTTCTTGTTTAACCCTATCCGTACATTGTGTTTTACTATCGTATCCATACGATGTGAGGAACTCTGAGCCACCACTTTCCAAAGAGGAAATTTACTCCTTAATCCGATCCGAAGGCTTTGCATAGCAGTCTGTCAAAATGATTTTTTGAGAAAATTAATACTGAAAGTTTCAAAGAGATCTTCGTACTAGAAGTATTCTAAAATGGGAAGAATGACCCCAGGGCGTACGGATAGGGTTTTTTAATGAATAGAAAGTTTATATAGTAAACATATTGTCATGATATTTGATACTTATACTCGAATATTGTGAAGATGTTTGATACGAAAATAAACACTTCCCTTCCCTATGAAATCAATATGGCTGAATGTTTACTATCGTCTTGTGCTCGTCTAACTTAGATCAAATATCAAGAATACATAACATCAAAACACATATTATTTTCCTTACTTCTGCCTGTGTGATCACTTGAAGGACCGGTTCCATAACTATTAGTTGTACCCTGGTGTCGAATCCAGTCCTTATTATCAGTTGTGAGCTGTGTCCAACCACAGAGCCCCCCGTCAAAGTTACAGGTGACAGTATCTGTGTCAAAAAAAGAGCAAATTATACTGAAAAGTTCTGCCTGTTTGTTTGAGTAAAGAGGAGCACATCGTGATGCGCAACAATGGTCATTTAAAGCTGGGGAAAAGTTAAACAAACAGACACCATTCCCAACTACACCTGACTAAAAATCAATTTCACAAAGTCTTTAAGCCCCTCTCTGTATGTTTGAGTAATGAGAAATACTCCGACATAATAACAACAACAGTCATTAAGTGATTAGAAAAAAAGTGAAACAGACAGGAGCAATAGAGGGAAAGAACAAAAGTCGAACCAACCAGTGACACTCTTCAGCCAATTGTTCTAAGTGTTCTACAGAAGGCTTGCTAATTTAGAACTGAAACTAAGATGAGGTGGGGGTTGGGGGAGGGGG